AGAAACTCATAGTGACACATGTCACATACAAAACCGTACTGATACTTCTTGCTTACGCGAGTGGTCTCCTTGAAGCGGTGAGGATGCGCAGCTGATTTTCTTTGCTCCTCCGCCAACCACATCATGTCAAGCCGGTCTTGCCTTTCCTCCGTCGTCACGCGGAAGACGGAGAAAAGATATTCTAGCTGTAAAGAAATCATATTCTCTGCAAGACTCCGTACAGCCGCCTCCATGGCGACAACTTTCCTCTCCGCCACCCATCCCGACGCAAGGTCCTTCCTGGCAAGGCGAGCAGGTATGGCGTCTGTTGGCTGACGTACTCCATCTGAGGCAATACCCGCAGCCGACGCATCCACGGTTTCCCTTGGCAACGTCTGCTTGGTATCACCTTCGTAGCCGACGTGACAAGGGCGCAGGCACGGCGTGGAGAGCTCGGTTGCGCTCCTCGTTTCCTCTTGAACACCCAGAGCCCCTACGGGAGAAATTGTCTTTTTCGCCGCAACCAGATCTACTTCCGCTTCCCCCGCATCCTCAAAATTCGCCGACGATGACTGAGGAATGCTGCGAGACCTCTTGTCATTCCTTGCTGTGTTGTCCAGAAGTTTGTCTGCTCCATTGATACGAGTCTGCGTCACCGGGGAGGTGGCACGGGAGTTCCCGCGTGAATTGACACGAGAACTTGCATGTGATTCGCCACGTGAAGCGGAAACGAGCTCCCCACGTGCCCGTTTCGGCTGGCGCCGCCTGAGTCCCTTCGCCGTCTCTTCAGCGATAACTACAGATATTTCACGCAGGGGCCGCTTCCGCCTCGCCTCGCGGCGAACATCGTACAGTTGATGCGTCGGCACGCCGCCAACCGCCGTTTCCTCCCTGGCCACAAATTTTAGTGACGCGCGTCGCTCTGCCTCTTCCGCCTCGGCCTCATCGGGGCTGTTGGCGCGGCTGCCCATCAGGCTGGCGGTGACGTCGGCGCTGCGCTGCTCCACGGCCCGCAGCAGGTGAGCCTCGTCGTGGGACAACAGAAAGTCGTCTTGGACGCCCAAAAACGCGGTCACAGCGGTGGGCGGGGCACGACGACGGGAGTTCCAGATTGGCTTGCTGAGAATCGTCGAAACATCCGGCCGTTTCACGGGATCGGGAACAAGAATAAACTCCACAAGCTGCCGCAGTTCGTTGGAGACGCTGCAACCCACAGGCCACCGCCAGTCCGCAGCAGCCACGCGGCGCAGCAGTCGCACATTCTCCCCATTGAGCCTTCTCGGCACTGCCGCCCCACCTTCGTCGGCATCCTCCTCATCATCCGCACAGGAGTGAGGCGAAGACATGGAGTTGATGGATGGCGGGTACGGATTGCGCTGCGTGAAAATGGAGAAAAATACGATGCCCACCGACCACACATCAGCGGCGGCGCCAACGCTAACCCGCTGATCTCTGTGCAGTGCGTTGTGGGCCATTTCTGGTGCCATGAATGAAACAGTGCCGGCCACCACGTCCCCCGGTGGCGGGTTCCATTCACTTGAGGCCAATCCAAAGTCTATGAGTTTCAGGTTGCCGTCCAGGTCAAACACAAAATTTTGAAGTTTAACATCTCTATGAATGCATCGCTGCTCGTGAACGCAGGCAACAGCCTGCAACACCTGGTAGGCGAGAAACAGCATGTCGGCTTCATTGGTGAGGCGTGTCACTAAAAGCAAGTCGTGTAGCGTCGAAGGCACACAAAGCTCCATACCGACAATAATCAGATCACCAGTTTTGTTTATAGCCCCAAACTCAAACCGAGGCAGCAGCAGTTTCCCTTTTGTGCACACCTTGAGAAGGACGTCTAACTCCTGGCGAAGACGTGCGGCCTTTCCGGTGGCAATCTTGAGCGCCAGCCTGGGATACCCGTCGCACACGGCGCGGTAAACGGTGCCGAAGGAGCCCTGGCCAATACGTTCACATGTCCGTATCGATAACAGCTGACCTTGCAAGGAGCCGCGCAGCGGCAGGCGGAGCTCCACAAGTCGCACAAACTCGCCGTCGTACGATATCCTCTCCACGCTGCCCAGCATTCGTGGGGCCCACACGCCTTCCCTGGCTGCAAAGTAGAAGCAGCAAGCACACACGCCGAAAAAAAAAAGAGACAAGCAGAGAAAACGTTGAGCCAATAATGAAAAACGACCAAACAAGCGCGAAGCCGTAACACGTGCGACTAATAATGACAATGACAAAAACGCCTAAATACGACGTTTCGTTATTATTATTATTATTATTATTTTTTTGTGGCCCGTGTTGTTTGTTTTAGAAGGAGAGAAAGAGGGGAAAGAGAGGAGGAGCAAGTGCAGGAAAGGGAGTGAGAGATCGATGCGTGGCCCACCCCGCGCCTTGGCAAGAGCGGCATTAAATGGCGTCCGCAAACGATGGATGCGCCGCGACGAGGACAAACTCCTCCCGCGTCTTCTCATCTGTGAGACACCGCAGATAGTGCAAGCTCCTCGCAGAAATGAGCTTCCTCCGCATCGCCGAACTCGAAGTGTACTTCTGCAGCAGCCGCCGCAGGTACAGCTGCGCATCCTCCTCCAGGAGTGAGCAACGCCACGCCTGCCCATCCCCGCCATCTGTGCAGCTCACCAATGCGTGGGAAACAAGCAGATGAACCGCAAGAGCGTCTACGAGACACTCATTCAGAAAATGAAGCTCGTCCTGCGGCACCGACCACGCAGCGCTAGGCGGTGCCATTGCAATGGCTTAATCGCCCCGCCCAACTATACCCACGCTGAGAGCCACAGACACATACTCGGAAAGGCAAAAGAGAGGAAGAAAATGTGCCAACATAGTTAAGGCGACAAAACAATGAATTCGGGAGAAACTCCTCAATTTTCAAGAACGGAAGAGGAAGTGGGGGGGGGGGGGGGAAACAGCGGGCGCTTCCAGAGCCAAGGAGCCGAGAAACTGTCATAGGAAGGGGAGAAACCCCGACCCCCCTCTCACACACACGCAAGCAAACTAAAAAAAATGACGGTAACGCAACAACACTCAAACCGCAGAAAATGCGGGTCATAAGTGGTGTCTGCCTTTTTCGCGTACATAGGACAGCCTGCCGAGCCGTAAGAACGGCAGTCCTGGACGAAGTGAGTAGTAACAAAGAGGGGTAAAAAAAACACACAGACAGGAACGACAGCCACAGACACAATACAGAAGCAGCAAGAAAAAGTGAAAAAAAGGGGAGGTCGCCAGAAACCATGCAGAGCGCAGTGATCAATGGGAAAGAGTGCTGCTAAAGGAACGAAAAAAAAAGGAGGAAAAATCAGGACCTCCACAGATGGTACATTAC